AAAATACACCTTAAAAACGACCCTGGAAACTTGGCTTAAACCTGGGAAAGCCCAAATCGGCACAAGTTCGTGTTTCAGGAGTGAGTCACCTCTTGGTTCACCTCCTTCCCCCCCCTCCCTCCCTCCCTCCCTCCCTCCCTCCCTCCTTCCCCCTCCCCCTCAACCTCTCCGTCCCTACCCCACCTCCTCCTACTCCCTCCCCTCCCCTCCCCTCCTACCCCTACCTGCTCCTGCTCTTCGTCCTCCTCCTTCTCCTCCCGTTCCTCCTGCTTCTCTCCTCTTCTCTGCTCTTCTTCTACTCCTCCTTCCTCCTATGCCTCCTCCTCTTTCCCAATCTTTCTCCTCCGCCCCTTCTCCTCCTCCTTCTCCTCCTTCCCAATCTTTCTCCTCCGCCCCTTCTCCTCCTCCTTCTCCTCCTTCCCATTCTTCTCTTCGTCTCTCCTCCTCCTCTCTCCCACTCTTTCTCCTCCGTTTCTTCTTCTCCTTCCCACTCTTTCTCCTCGTTCCCTCCTCGTCCTCCTTTTATTCTATTCTTGTTCTTGTTGCTCTTCTGTTTCACCTCCTCTTTCCCTCTCTCTTCTTCTTCTTCGTCTTCCTCTTTTCCTCTCTTTCTTTCTCTTTCTCGCCTCCCCCTTTCTCCTCTCTCATTATCTTCCTCCCGCCGCTTCTTTCTCCTCTCTTCCCTTCTCTCTCTCTTCTTTCATTTCCGATTAGTTCTCTTATCTTCAATTCTTCCTTCTGCCCTTTCTCTTTCTCCCCTTATATTTCCTTAATTTCTCGTCCCGCCCCCTTTTCTTTCTCTTTCTCATTCCTCTTTCTCCTCTCTCTTTTTTATCTTCTTCCTTCCCTCTTTCTCCTCTTCGTCCTCTCTTTCTCCTTCTCCTCTTCCCCAGAACACCAAAGCAACGAAGAGAGAAAAAAGGAAAATCACTCATAAATATTAAACGGGACACGAAAACATAGAAGATAAAAAAGGACGAAGAACACTAACAAAAACAACGAAAACTTTGTTTAACAAAAAAGTATAACAAGATTAAAACTTTGAAAATAACCTTGATAAAAATGCTAGTAATTTAACAAATACAAACATGATGACGAAAGACTTTTTTTTTCTTTTTACAATAAAAACAAACAAACAAACAAGTAATAAGACCGTAATAAAGGCCGACAATTAAAGCAAGATAATAAACAGTGGAATATTAAACAATAACAATAACCAATAAAGAAACACTAAAGAGAAAGAACAAAAAAACAATAATAATAATAATAATAACCATAAAACTGAGTGATTGATTATGAACAAAGAAGGGATGATGATTCTATAGATAAAGAAACTGCGCAGCTAAGGGAGTGCTCGGGCGAAACGGGTGAGTGGTAGGGAGAGAGAGCGAGTGTAGGGTGAAACTGGAGACGATAAGAGAAACAGGATTTATCAAGAGGGAAGGGAAATGTAGTAGGGAATGGGGGAGGAAGGGGAAGGGGGAAGGCGTAAGGGAGGGGGAAGGGAGAGGGGAGGAGGCGTAAGGGAAGGGGAAGGGGGAGGGGAGGAGGCGTAAGGGAGGGAGGAGGGGGAAGGGAAGGGAAATGTAGTAGGGAATGGGGGAGGAAGGGGAAGGGGGAAGGCGTAAGGGAGGGGGAAGGGGGGAGGGGAGGAGGGGGAAGGGGGAGGGAGGAGGGGGAAGGGAGGAGGCGTAAGGAAGGGGAAAGGGGAGGGGAGGAGGGGAAGGGGAAGCGGGAAGGCGTAAGGGAGGGGTAAAGGGGAGGGGAGGAGTTGGAAGGGAGGGGGAAGGGGGAGGGGAGGAGGGGGAAGGGAAGGGAAATGTAGTAGGGAATGGGGGAGGAAGGGGAAGGGGGAAGGCGTAAGGGAGGGGTAAAGGGGAGGGGAGGAGGGGGAAGGGGGAGGGAGGGGAGTGAGAAGGGGGAGGGGGAAGGGGGGAGGGAGGGGGAAGGCGTAAGGGAGGGGGGAAGGGGGAAGGGGAGGAGGGGGAAGGGAAGGGAATGTAGTAGGGAATGGGGGAAGAAGGGGAAGGGGGAAGGCGTAAGGGAGCGGGAAGGGGGAAGGGGGAGGGGGAGGGGAGGAGGGGGAAGAGGGAGTGGGAGGGAGGGGGAGAGGGGAGGGAAGTGGTTTGGGGAAGGGGAACGGGGAACGGAAGGGGAGTTGAGGGGGGGGAGGAGGGGAAAGGAGGGAAGTTGAGAGGGGAAAGTGCGATGTAGTTTAGGGGTGGGGAGGGAGGGGGGGAAGGAGAGAGGGGGGTAGGTGTGTAGTCTAAAGGCTGTGGAGGGGGGGGTGGGGGAGTTACGATGCAGTTTGAGGAAAAAAAAATAAGAGGGGGGGGATGGGAGGAGGGGGGGAGAGGTGGTGTAGCGTAGGAGGAGAAAGGAATAGAGGGAGAAGATGGCGGAGGAGGAAGAAGGAGCGCGAAGGAGAAGAACGAAGGAGGGAGAAGGAGGAGGAGGAGGAGGAGGAAAAAGAGGGGGTAGAGTAGGTGGCAAGGATGGC